TGAACATGATATTAGAACGACGTTAAAAAATCTAGCCGACTTATTTTCGAAATCGGATCAACCAAGTGAAGAGTTGAATGGATATGCAAATATGGGTGTTCAACATATCCTTCATGTAAAGAAGCTCAATCCGCGTCCTTGGATAAGTACCATCCTTTTGAGTTCTATAGGTATTTCTGAAATAATCGGTGGCATTTGTGTAATTCTTGGTACTACTGGAATAGGTTTCAATATAGGTATGAGTCTGGCCGTCGACGGAATTAATAATATTATATTTGCTATACAAGGTACCTACTTTCGGGCTATGCCATGGACCAGTTTTGCTAAGCAGAAAAGTATTAGCCTTTTGCTCAGCTTTGCTTCATTTGGACTCTCGTCAGTTAGACATGCAGCACATGCTGCTTGGTCTCAAACACATAATGCATCGCAATTGTTTCACAATACATTCCATGGGACACTAAATATGGTACGAAATAGTGTTACAGGGCTTCATCATACAGCAGTCCAACAAGTTGCAAGCCACGGATGGGGACCTACACTTAAACAAATGGTGACAACAAGTACAGAAACTTTTATAAAAACAATTTCAGATCCTTTGCTACTGTTCATGATAGAAAAGATTATGTCAGAATTACAATCCGCTATAACGAACAAGATTGAAGAGATCGTCATGACTGAATTTGATAAGGATTACGTGAGTTCTCTGTTAACTAGAGCTTTGAATGGTGATGCTTACTATGGTACTAGGCAATGCCAAAACAAGATTGAGCAGGAAATAGAACTTATCCTGAGAAATGAAAAGAATATAGCCAGTTTAAACATCAAAAATTTTTCGAAAGAAATTTGGACTCGATTGACTGGTGAACAGAAATCTTCTGTTCAAGGAGCGATAGCATTGGATCAATCAACTAGCAGTAGTACTTATAATAGATCTCATTTTATGAAACAGAAAATTTCTTCAATATCATCAATTATTAACGACACCCATCATGTGGAGACAATTATATCTTCATTTTTCAAAAACTTTCTGCGAAAGTTTAACAAAATTTGAACAGAAAATACCTACTTTTCAACAACTTCTTATTTATGCCTCACAAGAATCTATTTCTTTCGAGGAGGCGGATGAGATTTATCAGCTTTTGCGACAAAATAATGTTCTCACTAATAATGATTCCATAAATGTTTATCAAGGTAATACTTCAGATTCTTCCGAAGAATTATCGAACTATTCTTCAATGTTCAATACAATGAATCAAAATCCAATGGACGAATTGAAACGAAAGATCGAGAAGATTAATTTTACTGATGCAAAGCACAAAGAATGCGTACTGGTCGTTATAAACAAGCTCCTAGGAGAAGCACCAAATTCATTACACATAAGCATGCTTCGTAGAATGGTCGTCGATCATGTAGTCGTACGCATTATTAACCAATTGACTAGCTTTTACCACAGCATGACCAGACAGGTGACAAACTTCGGTATCAAAAAAGCGATGAGTACTCTGAGTGAGGATTTAAAAAAAACTTTCAATGTAAAAGCTCGGATAAAAGATCGTACAATGGAAATTGGGACAGGAAGAGTAAATTATGCCGACAAGAACGACACTTTCAAAACTTTTCAGCAAAATTATATTCAATATTTGTCAAGCACTACTACTCAAACATTAAGTTTTCAAATGAAAAATACTCAACATGAATTTTTTTATTCGAACTATTTGTCAGGTGTGATTGCTGCTTTAATAAACAAACCAATTTCTGTTATTCAGCAACAAATAATTAATGAATCAATCCCAGATATGCGCATACCATGTAATGCATTCATGGAAGCCAATCCAGTCTATGCTACTGGCATGCTACCAATTATTCAAAATCGAAACATAAATCAACACACAGAATTCATGGTTAAAAAATATGCATTCATCGATCAGTCGTTACTCAACGAAAAGTTTCTCTTATTCAAAGAATCTAGTAGAAATATGGCAGAAGACCATGCCCATCAAATGAGTCATATAATAAATTGATTAACATCGACCGATCTTTATCTTGGTACTGAATTAAAGACTTTGAATGTACTCTATCCTCGAGTAAAATTATTGGAACAAGTTGGATTCGAATTACATCATATATATCTATATAAGATACTGTTGAAAGATCAATTAAATGCTAACGACATAACACTCAATGTAATTCGTCAAATGCTGATTACCGGTAACATTGGTATTTTGATCTATTGCTCGTATCAAGGTATTGAACGTTTAAAAGAATATCGAAATGCCGTTGAAAAATATCTCAATGATGCATCATTGAAACTGAATTCTGTGACACTTGATCCGGACTATGATATTCAATTTGAAGAACATATTCGTACTAACTCTCACGTTGTGATAATATATATGTGTGAGCATGGCTTCTATCATTACGTTCCAGGCAAAAAAGATATTCTCAAGACAGATACGATCTATGAATCGAAGATGTCTTTAAATCAAGATGATCTTGCATGGTACAGCATCAAAGATGAACGCTATATGAACTCGAATGTAGCATTAAATACAACAAATATAAATTCACTTTCTGACAAAGAAAATACCTGTGTTGCTTCATCGATATCAAGGTATGTTTGCATAAAAGATAGAGAAAAAGACTGAGTCATATCACGAGTATTCTTCGCCTATTTGTTTATTATACTGAGAATGTTTGATTGAAATCTGTCGTTTTGTTTTGTTTATTTTAGACAAATTATTCCAGTAACAGCAACAACTTCTACATTAGGAAACCTTCTACTCAAAACATGTCATATCTTGAATAAATGTAACTAACTCATTTGAAAAGGACATGCACATTGACATCATAATTCTGTTCTTGAGGGTGTGGGTGTGGGTGTGGGTGTGGATGTGGGTGTGGGTGGGTGGCTCGAAACCTGTTTTGTATAAACACATACATCCACACCCACACCCTTTAGTATCCTCATGCATGCTTTTAGAATCTTGAGGAATGGAAATAGATTCTAAAGGATTGCTTGTAGTATCTTCAAAGTCGGTTGTCCGCAGCTATGTCGTTGAGCAGCTTAAGCGCCTTGTAACGAAACTTGTAGAAAGCTGCAACTATCGGGAGCTAAAGTGTTCACCAGCTGGAGTTGTCACACATTTAATCCAACCCATGCGAGGTAGAGCTCTCCACCAGTTTATCTACTAGGAATGGGAAAATGTGTGAGTGTGGGTATCATTGGAGAACTCATCCACACGCAGACCCACACCCACACCCACACCCACACCCACACCCACATCCACACCCACACCCATCCACACCCACACCCATCCACACCCTACCCACACCCTATCATGAACCAGTATACATATTTAAACAATGGTCTAAAAAAGTTTTAAGATAAATTAATATCAAGATTCGTTAGCAATCTCAGAGTATGCTTCTATAAGATCTTCCGACTCTTTAATGTCCATCAGTTGGCCTTGCATATCTTCACTTATTTTGTGAAGCATTTTTTTATTATAATTACCAAGGCCCATTATCCAGAAATGAGCAATCATTGATTTGTAATGCATTGATAAACATTCTAATTCAGATGTTGGATAAAAATAAGGTTCTCCATCGGTAAGAAAGATGATTATTTGTCGAAAATTATTGCACATTGGATCATGTCTAATTTCGTCCAGCGTTTCGATGAGCTTGTTAAATACAGCATTAAAATTTGTACTTTTGCCACAGGTTGACATCGACATATTGAGTCGATCTACATCGATGTGATCTATTTTTTCTCGATCATAAACTCGTTTTGCTCTTCTACCAAAAACGATAAATGTCAGTTGATCAGTATGATGTTCATTTTGAATTCGAATTTGAATAAATTCTCTGACTGCTTTAAGCAAATGCTCCCAAGGTGTTAATTTTCTTTGACGAGTTATATTTTTAGAAATCGAACTAGTTTGATTCATAGAACCAGAATGATCGAGCAGAAAAATAAAATGATTTGTCGGAAGCGGACTGTTTTGTTTGACGAATTTCATTCCATTACCAAAATTTTGACATAATTGTTCTCCGATTCTGCTCCATATATAAGTACAGGATGTATTTTGAATCTCTCGAATTCTCGGATCTCCAAAATTCCAATCGTCATGAATATTTTTAAAATCTATCCATTTCTGTCGTCTACCTCTACTAGTAACAATAGCATCGTTGTCTTTGATCATTTCACATCTTAATGTTGACGCTTCATTTGTCAATTCATATCGTATACCACTCATTCCTCGTATTTGATGACCAGACTGGCATTGATGCCTATTCTCTCCTTGTCCTGCAGGAATAGCATTGTTCAATCGATGATCGACATCACACAAACGCTTGCAACAAGGACACTGTGCTTGACACCCTCGTAATTGAGTTTGTAGTCGTTCTCGTGTGCTACAACAACTACTTTCAACAAAAGCAGTCATCCGAGTTCGAAAGACTTCTTTTTTTTGTGTTTGCTGACTAATAATTTTATCAAGAAAAGTATTGGTATAAATGATTGTATACGTTTCAAATGTGCTCTTCATTGAACGGAAAATGTCTTTCAGTTGATCACTCAATAACGGCATGGTATTAATAATTTCTTGCCACTTTCGTTGAAGTGTATAAGTTGCATCGTTTTTAACAGTTATCTGCGCTGGAATAGGTTCTCCTGAAAGATATTGATTAATAAGTTTAGCCATACATAATTTCTTATCGAACGGATTCGAATAGAAACTATTGCTAGACGGCTCGAAAATATCATCGACTAAAGTCAATGCATTTTCATCGTTTAATTTCAAAGAAATTTTGATTCCTTTTATTACGTGAAAGAATTCATCTATTGTTTCTAAATGTGAATTCATATAGATGTTGAATTGTTGGCGAATCTTTGTTTCGAGTTTTGTCCATCGTTGATCAAATCGTTCGATGATTATTTCAGTTGGATGAAGAACATAACGCATAAGCCAATCATCTGTAGCCTCATATACTTCATTGTCGAGCTCTTTCATAATATAGTACCAATTCAATGTAGCTCGTTCGTTTTCAACATATTTTCGATGTATTTCTGTTTTTTGTTGATCAAATGATTGAAACAATATTTCGAGAAATTGATCGACAAGATCATTAGCTATATTTTCATTATCATTCTCTTGAATTGAAACCATACGAATAAAACAATGTTGCCATTTGGCTTTGTTCTGCTCTATTGACTTAATTATACTATTAAAATGAGTTTTCTGTTGATGATAGTAGAAAAGAGCAATTGATAGCACAGCACAAATGTGTAGAATGCTTTCAAAACTTTTTGATATTGAAACATTGAATATATTCAGTTCTTGATTCATATCTTGTATTAATTTATTAACTATTCCCAATATATCTTGTAGAAGTATTATTCCAGTTGAAGGTTCATCGTTAATTTTTAATTTAAAAATTTCATGTACAGAAACAATAAATGTCTCGAAGCAATATGACACTCGAACAATAGTTTGCCAATTATTATTGATCTCCTGACAAAAATCTTTGGATAGATCTGACCTAATCCACCTTTTTGCTGTGCTTTTACTATCGTTGTCGTTGGGTATTACTAGAAACTCATAAATATTGAGATATGTATACTGTTTCTGTAGATCAGTAAGACAAATTTTGTAAACATTCGTTGTCGATTGTGAGACAAGAAAATTAATATTCGATGCTTTGCATGTACATTCATTACGAATTTTCAATAAACTCTCATGAAGAACATCTGTTTCATCGAGTCTATCGAGTGTCACGAGAAATGGTAGAAAAGTGAGAATATTATCCAATGATGGTAGAGCATCTTGATTAAAAACATCATAAAGACGACAAACTAATTCAATCGATTGTTTCCATTGAACTTCTGAATCGAATTTTGATTCGATCGAAGCAAAACGATTTTTCCACATCGTCTCAAATTCTTCCACCGCTGAGCTCCTATCAATGGAAAGATTTTCACTCAGTGTATCGATTGCAAATTGTCGAAGTATAGAATCATTGTCTTGCATCATTTTATTTAATTTATCTCGATCACCTGCCATAATAGCTGACACCTCCCATGAACGGAATTGAATAGCTACTTGAACTTGAAGAAAACGAATTGATCGTTGACGAACATTTTCACTTACGGCATACTTAGTTATTTTTTCTTCGAGATTCTTTTCAAGAATTCTAAAAATTCTCTCTTGTTCAATCCGAAATGAATCTTGAATGTAATATCTATTATTTGTCTTCTCTTTATTAATCAATAATTGCGCTTCTGTTGGTGATAAATACTTTTCCAAATCTATTCGAATTTCCTGTCGTATTTTATTGTTTTGTTCTCGTTCAAAAATATCTTTGAAATAAGTTAAATCGGGATATTTTTTAATAATTTGAAATACACTATTTGCATATTCAATCCATTTGGTTGGTATAGAAAAATGATTTCCAGTATCGTGAATTATTTTAAATGATAAATCAACAAAAAGTTTACATAAATTTTGAACATCTGTAACAAATTTAATATTGGTTGACAATGTTACACAGTTTTTTACATTCGGATCTTCAAATTCATTTGAATTGAATGCTGTCGGCAAAATATGGAAATTATTCGCTCCAAGATCGATTAAATTGTTGAGACCATGAGCTATTAAATCATCTTGAATGATTTTCAATTGTCGCTCACAATTGGCTTTATTCGGATCAGATCTTTGATTAAGAACAAAATGAACTGTCGATCGAGTTATATGAGTTTCCCCCAGATATTTGAGAGATTGTGTGCATAACAGTAGCATCTGCTTTAATGTTTCATTAATTTCACCCTTTACATTTACAATAACTAAATGCGATATAGCCAAACAAAAGAGGATCAAACGTTTGTCATATTGTTCATCACCCTTCTCAATAGATAATAAACCTTCTGTATCGATTAATAAAATATAATCATAATCGGGTGGTATTAAATTATACGTAAAAGATTTCGCTTCAATTTTCACTAATGTACCATACACACCTACAGTATGCATATATTTAAAATTAAAGGTTAACAACTATTCCATTAAACATTTCTGCTCGCTGATGACTTATCGATTCCGTCGATGAAAGTACGTATTCGTTTGCCTTACAAGCAAATGTCGCTATGTAGTGAAAAATTTGTAGCACCGTATTGCATTCACAAGCAGAAGACCTCAACGGTAGACCAAGACTACCCTAGTCCACTTTCTCCAGAAAATTTTCGAGAGACTCTCAAAAATTTCTGAATTGACTCTCCCGAGACTCCTTGAGAATTTCAAAGGGACTCTCTGAGATTTTTTAAAAGAATTCATACATAGGTCGCTAGCGAGATCCTGTTAACGAGAGTTGTCGGTTTGGTACTAGCATTGCATTAAATTAATTTTAACAGTAATACGTTTATGGTGAAATCCTAAGAAAAAGTTGTACTTTGCATCGATTAATGCAATGCTCAAGTGAAGTTGTATTCTTTACCGATTTCAATATTTTTCTGTTACAATTTTAATAAAAAAGAATTGTAGCTGTCATTAACTTAATTCAGCATTGCATAATTTAGAATTATTTTGTATTAAAATGGTAACAGAAAAGTATTAATATTGTTCAGGAATACGACTTCTCTTTAGAATTATATTAATCAATGCAAAGTACAATAGACTTTTTTTTCTTAAGATCGTAACAAAAAAAATATTCCTGCTAGCATTAATTTGATGTCATGATAATATCAAGCCGACACCCTCCTGCGAACAGTGAATCACTAAAATATGTCCCAATTTATTCTCGATCCATAAAAGAAACCTCTAATTCCGCTGATTCTCGTGTGGTTTTTTGTTTTAGTCAATATCTTCTCCATTTCATCTGTATTTTTTATCTGCAACGTTTCAAATCTTTTCAATTAGAGACAGGTAAATATGACAAAGTAAACATGATAAAACCTAAATTTTTCAGTCACCAAATTCGTTTCTTATAATATATAGTAACTAATGATGATGATATAACAAAATGAATTGATCTTTTAGTTGCTGTTACTCGATTGTTTCTACAGCTTCTTGATTATTTTGTACATTTTGATCACTAACAGTATTTTCAGTTAAAATTGTTGGTTTCTATTATGGTATTGAAATTAATGGCAGAGTCTACATACTTGTGTCTTTACTGAAAAGAAAATATTTAAGTCTGAATTCACCACAAACAAAAAGGTTACTAATTGGTTCTTGAATTTTCGTGTCGCTTCAAGACGGACGAACATACTGCGTCAATTGTCTGCTACATGTTTCATTCATATATAATTTTGAATATATTTAAATCATTTGTGCACTCATGCAAAAAAATTACTAAAAATTTGTTGGGAAGTCCCCAGCGAGTATTTTACTTTCTCTGTATTCTCTGCGCTTGGGGAATCCCAAGGAATTTCTCAGAGAATCACCAGTGACTCTGACAATTTCAGATCACCTTGGAACTCACTAGGGATTTTTCGGTGACTTCCTAAAGATTCCTAGGGGATTTGTTACTTTTTGGTGGAGTCCTCGGAGATTTTCCTAGGGAAAGTCAACTAGAGTAAGAGAATATGGAGTCATGTTGTGATTTCGATAAAGTATGTGTCATCTAATATAAAAACCTCTCTAATACTAGATTTTATTTTTTAAAAAATTCATGACTTTAGGACATGAAAGTGACCAAATATAAATGTGATAGAAGATTTATATTTTCCAAATATGCTCAAAAACATGTACACTTTGAAAAATTCATATCTCAATGCTTCAAATTCAAGTCATGAATTTTTTGATACAGTTAACGTAAGAGGGTCTTTGTATTCATAGTTTCAGATCGGAATTTGAAAATCTGATCTTTCTGGAAAAAAAAAGAATCCTGCAAGAAAAGTCCAGTTAAAATTATATATCTTAACCAAATCGCAATATAGGCTCGTATTCTCTTTGACTTTTTCAATCTTGTGATCTCCTGCTTATAAATGGAAACAGATTGAAATAGTTTTCGTCACTTAAGGATCTTTCTTCGTTAGTTCCATTTTGACTTTCTCTTTATATGATTTTTCATTTTTTTGAAGATTATTTTAGAGAAAAAATTGCTCTTTTACACCAGAGTTATTTTTAAATGCTGTGAACTGAGTTCGTTTTCAAAGGGTAAGAAAGAAAATCGATCGTCAAGAGCTAGTTCATATCGTTTCGACTTACCTCGAGTACATCGCCCTTCACGTACGTCAAATAAAGTACCAAATAAAAAGTTAAGCAATGTACTTTTGCCACTGCTCTGTGGTCCGATTATACTCATAATGAAAAATTTTTCGTGGCGAAATAAATACATAACTTTCGTTAAAAATTCATCTTGAATTTCAAAATTATCACCATCGACTATTTCGAAAGGATTTCCTTCGATGATATAATTATGATACGCATCGATAAGTATTTTTTGTTCAGTATCCAATATATTTTTAGAACTGAGTATAGCATTTCGCCAATGAATTTCAAGTGAAAGTTGTTCATAAAACGGGGCTGCTAGATTTTCTTGTATTTTCGTATCCCGTTCATGTTTTAACTCAATAGATAATAAATTCAAATTATTCAATTGATCTTCCTTCTTTTGAAGAAGATTGAAGAAAAGTTGAAATGCTTGGCCAGCTGCTTTAAAACCAGCTCGTTGTTGTTTTTCTAACTCTGCTTTGATTTGAAAGAACGTGCTCTGAAGATCATACAACTTTTCATCTTGAAAATCGGCACTATAAGGATTCATCTTGGCTATCTTGAGTCGTGTATCACACATACGAGTAAATAATGAATACAGTGGATAATCATCTTCTTTACCATGAATCAGAACTGATCGAATAGAATCAAGAAAACGTTTGTCTTGCTCGATATTTTTACGTTGGCTAGTATCCATCAGTTGTTCAAGATGGTTTTGGATAATTTGTTTGTTTGAATGACTGAAATGGATAGCTTTAAGGAAAATCTGTTTACGTAAATCATTAATTGTTGATTTCATTTTATAATTAATTTTGTCGCCAACGTACGGCACATAGAAAACTTGACAATTCAAAGGGACGGAATTCACTTTGTTAATAGCTATTTGCACTTTATTGTCCTCTTCATCAACTATGTCACGTATAAGCAGTAGAATATAGCTTGGATGCGAAAGCAAATCTAAATATTGAATAACATCCGCTGTATTGGAGGTAAAGTACGCTGATTGAACATGAATAAGAAAACCATTGAATAATTGACAAATACGATTCAGAGTCTCAATCGAAATAATTCCATGAACATCAGCAATATTTACAGAACGTCGTTCAAGAAAATTATAGCCAAAATCAACATCACATGTTCCATGAAAGTAATTATTATTCATTGATTGTTCAAAGTTCGCTCCGAATAGAGAATTCACAAGAGACGTTTTACCATTACATTTGCCGATACCAAATGAAAGTAAAATAGGCCGAGTAAAATCCCAAGCATGAATAATATTCGATGCAAAACGATGTTCGTTGTTGATTGTACTTATGGGTGGTTGAATCATCGGTATTGGATTACGTTTGCCAAGAAGCAATGTTAAACGTCGACAAAGAAATCGATTTGAAATGTTCATCATCTTGTCGACTAACTGACGTTGACTTAAACATGCAACATCCTTTTCTTTCCAGAGCAATGCTTTTAGTGATTCCGAAAAATCAGATAGATTTTGTTCGCGCTTGAGTAAATACATTATTGGTTGTATAGCGTTTAGAACAAGCAAATCAGGATCACGATTAAATTTATCTTTGAATGTTTTTACAAGTTCATTAGCAATATCTTCAATTTTCTTATCCATATATTGAAGTTCACCTGCATTAACAAGATCTTTCAATGAATATTGCAATATAGAACGATCATCGCCTTGAAGATTGCTGTCATTTATTTGGTTTGATTCTACTATTCCTTAATAAATTGAACAAAAATAAATCAAAATTTTTAAATAACTTGAAATTATAGTTTAATTTAGTGTCCGTCTCAAACATGATAGGTAACATCTATCTTTTATCTAGACTTTAATAGTTAAAATGCAATTACAACATATGTTATTCTAAAAATGAACTCTCAAGCAGGAGGGAGATAAACAAATTTTACCGAAATTGTTAAGTGCCAATAAAGCATCTCAAAAAGCAATAAAATAAACAGAGATTTTGCTTCTTTTCTACATTATGAACGACTTAAACTTAAAAGAATTTGGATGTGATTTCTATGATAGATACAAAATTAAAATTAACAGCAGTGAAAATCTAAAGTCAAACGAAATGCGTGCTTAACCAAATCGGATCGAGTTGCAATCTAATCGAATGTAACACTTTGAAAAACAAGGGATCTTTTCCTCGATAGAAGGCAGAAAAATACATTGCCTAAATTCAGGATATTCCATCTTTGATCTTAATTTTAGGCGGATCGTTATTACCCTCTTGTAGCAGACAAAATAGTGAAGAAAGGCGAGGCACTAATGTTAACGAAACCAAAAAAAAAATTCACCTGATTTAGAATTGGAAGATGAACTTTCTATTTGCAGCGATTTAATAACATTAGTCTGATTCGAATATTCCTCCTGAATAAAAGATATAAGTTGGTTCACGTCGACTACAACAGCTTTGATCTAAATAGACGATGAATTCAAATTGAATTCAATAAAATTAATCAACCTTGTCGAATTTCTGTGACCATGCTCTATTTCTCTCTTGATCCATGCAGAAAACATAGATCGATAACACTTGAGAATATTCATGAATACGAGGTACCAGTTCTTGACCGAGTTGTCCGCTGACAATCAGAACACATTGATTTTGATTCAATTGAGAGGTGACATAATCATAACATTGGTCAATATTATCGAAAGTTTGAATATTGTTGATGATACTATTTAGAGTGTTTTGTACAATCAAGTTTTCTTCATTGCTATTTCCATTAGCATCGAGCCAAATCAGATTTAAATTTTCAACGTTGCTTTTGCATTCAAGAATATTTGTTGCTATCATTTCATCGATACGATTGCTTTTGAAACCGATTCGTTTTCTAAGTTGGTTTTTACTCCATAGAAATTGAATTCAAAACTAACTAGTTGGACTTTCTTATGTTCTATGAAGTTATCTCATTGTTTATTTTTCTTATCTTGAAATGAATCATTTATTTGGTTTATTGGTTTTTCTATTCTCGAAATGTTGTGAATATATAAACGCAAAGCATACGAGAGAAAAATTGACGCAAAAAAATTTGGTCGCTTCATTTCAAAATGAAACGAGATGGTTATCATATTTGTCTTCACCATTTTTCACATCTTACCCATTATCAATAGAGCAATGACTTCTATCATATCTCTAAAGACGAAAAGGCTGTAGATGTGAATGAGATAC